CTAACTCTTAAAATGCTAGCATAATCTACCAAAGTCTCTTGTTTTATACGCATTAAAAATTCCTTCCGAAAATAGCAAGAATGTAGTCATTAAGTCAACAACTCATTCAACACAATAATCTATAACATTACACTAATCCTCTCTCTATATTGTGGCAAAACCACATCTCAATCGAAGTTAATACTATATATAATGGTATCTCGTTTTCTTCAATACTATAGTGGTATTTTCACTATCTTTAATCCGATTCTTTAAATCTTATTGTGGTTTCTTACATGCCTTGCAATTTTTCTTGATGCAACATTCTCTTTTATAGTGATAATATTTAAAATAACCACTAATATGTGATTTGCTTCTAGATTTACTTTACCTACTAAATTCTCTATTCCTACTCTTTTTTTTTCTTTGGGACAAGAGCTCGCATCATCCGCAATCATTTTATTTCTTCTTGTTTTTCATTAAACATGCTATCTTGAATCATAAATAGCGACAAACCATTCGGAGCGGAATTATCAAGTGTCATAACCAAATCTCCCAACTATTTGGCAAAACTTTCAAAATCAGCAATGCTTATAACTCATCATCTAGCACTATTTTTAAAGTTATCAACTAATTGATTAAATCTTAAAAAGCCACTCAAGTGTTGAGCAACAAACCTTCCATCTCTCGTATTTCAAATTCACAAGTTTCTTAATTATAAAAGCTTTAATTATTTCACGTGGCCTTGTTTTTATGCATACTCTCTATTATTATTATTTTTTCTATAATTCTAGGACATCTATCTCTCTGGATATGTGGTGAAATATATTATTATTCATCCATTGTATGATATCTTTAATATCTTTCCTATGCTTCCTTTTTACAAATATCATCGATCTTGGTAGTTGATTTGGTTTTACCGATTCAACCGGATTAAATAAATCATGGAAATAAAGTAAATCCTTCATCCTCAACTTTTAAATCAAATAATTTGAATCCATTAGTTTGATCATGATTTTTTAATTATATTTCTCCACCTAATTGACATAAATATTACAACCAAAGCTTTGATGTCACTATTAGAAATTTAATCTCTCTTTATGTAAAATAGATTTCATGAAAAAATAATAATCAATAGTACAACCATGAGAACAACAAATTTACGTAGAAATGTTTCTCAATCTTGTGTTAGGATAAGTACCACTTATCCATACTCATCCTAATCTTGTATATAATAGTTAGCTAATACTCATATTATAGTTAGCTAATACTCATGTTAATAGTTATCTTCTCTTTAGCTTACTAGTATAAATATAGCTACTATAAAAACATATATAATAACAAGCCTTTTGTAAACAAAACACCACATGAACAATAGCATGCATTTCCTTATATTTTACATGGTTAGAGCTATAGATCCTCTTCTCTTTCATATATTTTTTTCTTTTCTTTTTTCCCCGCCTTTTCTGTTTCTTCTCCCCATCCATCGCCCATCATTGCTTTTCTATTAAGCTCATCCTCGGTAACAATCCGGCCCGGAAATCTCGGTTTCTTTCTCTCTTGAATCGCCAAAATCTCACGAGCTTCATTAATGGTACACACCCGGCTCCATCTCCAACACTCATAGTCTCCACTCGCTACACATTCTCCTTGTAACCATATTGTCCTAGGTACCACCCTTCCTTCTTTATTTTCATATGATTCAACTTCATCGCTATAACTGCAAATCCCACTTCATCTCCAACACCTCATCCCCACAATAATCCTTCTCTTAATACACTCATAAAAATATTCATCTTCTTTGGTAACTACCAACTCACCAAGCCCGATCCCATATACACCTCACTACCTTAGTCTCTAACTTGTAGTGGACCTCACTTCATATCCAACCACTCAAAGTCCATCCCAACCTATTCTACGACCCAATATCCATACCTACTTCATGACATTTCACCTAAAAACACGTCCCTCACACCAAGCTCATACCGTAACTCTCACCACCAAATCATGTGACTACCTACATATCGAACCTACCTCATATTCCTAAGCCCAAACTTGTGTGGAATGGAGAAAAGCCATAAGTGATGAACTTATTGCCTTGCTCAACAACAACACCCGGTCTTTGATTCCACATCTCCTCAACAAAAACATAGCGAAGAATAAATTTTTATATTAAACAACACCCTAATGGTGAGATTTCATGTTACAAAGTAAGGCTTATTGCCAAAGGATATAATCAGCAATTTAGTGTTAATTACACTAAGACATTCGACCTTGTTATGAAGGCAACTACCATCAAGACCATCATTACTCTTGCTTCTATAAATTACTAGTCTTTGTAATAGTTGGACATATCCAATGTATTTCTCCATGGTATCCTTGACGAGGAAGTCTTCATAGATCAGCCTCTAGTGACATATTGATAAGAAGCATCCCGACTATGTGTGTCACCAAAATAAGTCCTTTTATGGCTTAAAACAAGCTCCACGAGCCCGGTTTAGTCGCCTCGGTTTCTTTCTCTTAAGCAATGGCTTTCATGCATCAATGGTTGATACCTCTCTATTGACCTTCATTATAGGGACTAATAGTATCTTTGTCCTTATATATGTTGATGATTTGGTTGTCATAAGTTCAAGCTCCATTTTGGTTAAAGAGTTCACTAACAAACTCCGAGCTTGAATTTTCTATCGGATAGCTAGGACGCCTTCCCTACTTCTTAGGAATTGAGGTGCTTCCCTTATCCAATGGCATACTTTTATCATAGCATAAGTACATTTCGGACCTTTTTTATAAATGCGGAATTGATGCTTCAAAAGGGTATCCGACGCCTATGGCTATAACTCCACCTCTATCTAAACTTTAGGGTATTGCACTCGTCAAATGGGGAAGTATATAGGTAGCTTACTCGGTGGACTCCAATACTCGAAGATGACTAGACCTAATCTCTCCTACACTATCATCAAATTTTTCCACTTTATGCACTCTCCAATTGATGTTCATTAGACGACCTTAAAACATGTTATTTGCTACTTATAGGTCGCTCCATCACATGACCTTCTCCTTGCAAAAGATTCACCCATACACTTACATTGCTATTCGGACAATGACTGGACTGGTCGCCCCGATGATCGTCAATCTACGAATGGATATGCAATCTATTTTCGAAAGACTCTCATATCCCGGATAATTAAGAAATAACTTGGATAGTTAGGAAATAGCCTACCATAACTAGGTCTTCTATTGAAAGTGAGTAAAAAACACTAGCCAACACTGCTACATAAATAGTTTAGATTCATTCCCTCTTAGATGAACTTGGCATCTCATCTTCCCAACAAGCAAAATTATGTGTGACAATATTGGAGTCATATATCTTTCGACTAATCCATTTTTTTGTGTCCGCACCAAGCATATTGAGATAGACTATCATTTTATGCGTGAACTTGTTGCTCGAGGAGTAATTCAAATTGGTTTCAATTCCAATGATGATCAAATAGCTAACATCATGACCAAGCCACTTGCTGTTTGTTGATTTCGGTTTCTCGGGGGACAAGCTATGCCTACTTGTCTCCCATGAAAGGGCTTGAGGGGGTGTTAGGATAAGTACCCGTTATCTATACTCATCATAATCTTGTATCTAATAGTTAGCTAATATTCATATTATAGTTAACTAATACTTATGTTAATAGTTATCTTCTCTTTAGCTTACCGGTAGAAATATAGCTACTCGTAAAAACATATACAACAACAAGCCTTTTGTAACCAAAATAACACGTGAATAGTAGCATGCATTTCTTTATATTTTACATCGTGGATGGCAAAATCATTATAATCAAGAAAGCAAAACAACCAATTTAGTTTTTTTGTGAACTTGAGAAGTAAAAATATTGATAGTAATATAAGTTACTTTTCTAGATAAATCCATCTAACCAAGAAAGTCCGAAATCTATAAAATCTTTATATTTTAGCAAAATTCAATACTGTGTGGGATCACCATATTGAATACTATAATTCTCTCGTGATTGTAGTATCCAAAAATCAATGTTAGAGAAAACCTCAACATTTTGTGTAAAAAAAAAAAAAAAAAAAAAAAAAAAAACCTTCTTTTCTTCCTATACAATTTGTCAAAAAAAAAAAAAAAAACTTCCTTTCTTTTCTATTCTCTCCCATTGCTATTTTGGCAACTACTCTACAAAAGAAAGAAAAACTCTAGCTGCTATAAACCAGAAAACGTTTTCTTTTTTCCAGCTTCATAACAGTGTTTTTTCTATTTAACTTATTTTCCACTTCAATTTTTTTTTTTTTTTTTAATTTATTAGTTATGTTAAAGTTACTCATGAACTGGATTTATAGCATATGCTCGTCAGTCAAACCCTTAAATTATGGTGTCAAACAAAAACAAGATGCAATAGCATAGTAGGTAGCTACCGATCCAGTACTTAATTAGAAGCTTCTATAACCAGCATGTCATAGGTAAAACCCCGGCCACAGCATAAAGGAAACAAAATGAACTACTACAAAGAATTTAAGCAACGAATTCGAAGAGGAAGATAAATTTTGTACTTTGGCTTACGGTCAAAGATTTATTTGTCTGGTATTTTTAGAGCAATTAGTCAATCTCTCATTTATTGATAAAGTTATCTCATATCCTTAGTCTTCCTTCACCAAATCATACAGATGAAGGAGCTTCAAATGGGACCATAGTGTTTGACAATTGCTACCTAAACCATTAGATTTTTGACAAATTGTCACGCTTCACATCATAAGTCTTCGTCGCAGGACAATTCAAAACGTGTTCTCATTCTCAAAGTCTTATCATAACCCTCCGCTTTATACATCTTTTCATTAATCAATCAAAATACCATGCACTAAGAGTCTGTGTTAGGTAACCTGCCGAGCCTAAGTACCTGGAGAAGGCCACATCTCTAATTCAGTATATATATCCCACTTTGTTTTCACTTCTTTTAAACATCTCAAACACATTTCACTAGCTAATTATCTTATATCTGTTGCTCCATCGATCAATGGCTTCTTTGTCTTTTTTCAACGCCATGGTAACTTTGGCTCTCTTAATTATGCTTTTCATGGGGAGCTCCAATGCTCAACTTTCCACAGATTTCTACTCTAAATCTTGCCCACATCTCTTTTCAACGGTTCAAACTGTTGTTCAATCTGCCATAAACAAAGAGACACGAATGGGTGCATCAATTGTTCGTCTATTCTTCCACGACTGTTTTGTTAATGTAATTTCTCTTGCCACTGATTCCTCATTCGAAGTGAAATATTTTATTTTTTTCCAATTTGCTTTATTTTGCATGCATGACATATTTGAGTGTCCGTCAAGGGTCAAAGCAATCTATGTCTCTAATGACACTTGGACACTTCCTTCGCCATATAGAATTTGCTTTATTTAATCGCCAAAAAAAAAAAAAAAGGACCTTTGTTTTATTTAAAGGAGCACAAAGTTTATTCTACTGGCTTTCCTTTCCTGATAGATTCTTCTGCTCATACAATGGCACGTGTAAAAAGAAATTAAAAATCGGGACTTGTTTCTATAGGTGTTCAAAAGTACCATTGAAGAGTCTACTAAAAAAATTATTTATTCTTTATTTTCCCGCATGGCATAAACATTAATTAAATATAATGTGACGTACAGGGATGTGATGGATCAGTTTTACTTGATGACACATCTTCCTTCACCGGAGAGAAAAACGCAGCTCCAAACCGGAATTCTGCCAGGGGATTTGAGGTCATCGACAACATAAAGTCAGCAGTTGAGAAAGCATGCCCTGGTGTGGTTTCATGTGCCGATGTATTGGCCATTGCTGCTAGAGACTCCACCGTTATCGTAAGTTTCTTTTTCTTCATTTATAGTTGGACTTCGCTTAGTATTCATTTGATTTATTGACACAGATTTTCGTGTATTTTTTTTTATTTTCGGGTATTTTTTTATAGCTTGGAGGACCTGAATGGGATGTTAAACTTGGAAGAAGAGATGCAAGAACTGCAAGCCAAGGTGCTGCCAACAATAGCATTCCACCTCCCACTTCTAACTTGAACCAGCTCATTTCTAAATTCAATGCTGTTGGCCTTTCGACCAAAGATATGGTGGCTTTATCTGGTTGGCTCTCCCATCACTTTCATATGGTTATTTGTTTATTTCTATCATAAACAGATCTGGAATCATGCAGGACACAAGTAGTTAGAAGCTAAGAGACTTTTCTTTAGTAGAAAAAAAAAAAAAAAAAAAAGTAGTTAGAAGCTAAATGAATAATTGAATTGGTCATAAATAGTTAGATGGCTTTATCTGGTGAATTAAATTAACAACCATGTCACTATTATAAAAATAAGAAATCAATCGAAATAGAGTTTTATAAATTCAAATACTCAAAATAGAAGATTTCAACACATAATCTTTTTATAAATACAAAAAACTGACTACCACGTTAATTTTTCGAATGCCTTGTTTATATATATATATAATTTTTGAATCATGTTAAAAGTGACTTTTAACCAAGAAGAGGTAGAAATAGGTCCAGGTCCTACCTATGTTCCTTTAAAAACTATAGACAGGTAGATTACAATCACCATTGACATTATATAACATAAATGAAAATATGTAATTTATTTTTTCCAGCTATGCCTAACTTATTATTGTATCATTTTTGTAAAAAAAAAAAAAAATCAAACAAACTAAAAACAAAATTCATGTTGTATTATTATTTTTTTTTTAGTTATGTCTCTTTGAAATAGCTACCGATGAAACATTTTTCCTTTCGAATCCTGATATATGTCAGGCTCGCACACAATTGGACAAGCAAGGTGCACAAACTTTAGAGCACGCATCTATAATGAGACCAACATAGACAGTTCCTTGGCTCAAACAAGAAGGTCAAACTGCCCACGTACTTCTGGCTCAGGGGACAACAATTTGGCACCACTTGACTTGCAAACTCCTACGCGTTTCGAGAACAATTATTATAAGAACTTGGTTAACAGGAGAGGGTTGCTCCATTCTGACCAACAATTATTCAATGGAGGATCCACTGATTCACTAGTTCGTTCCTATAGCACCAACGAAAACACCTTCCGATCTGATTTTGTTGCTGGCATGATCAAGATGGGAGATATTAAGCCCCTCACTGGATCCAAAGGAGAGATAAGAAAGAATTGCAGGAGGCGGAATTAAACTATATATGGTTCATCGGAGAATTGTTGAGAATAAAATTAATGTTGTCCATTTCCACTCTTTTTTTTTTTTTTCCCCCTAGTTTTTAATTAAAATTTGTGTGTGTTAGTGATCTCTGGGGTGGGCTACACCATGTTGTAAGCATAAGGTTGGATGCGATGGACTGGATTAAAACTCAACTTTAGAATTATTATAAAAGTAGTAAAGTTTTTGTTTCAAAGGGTGCATATTTTCTTCGTTATTACCTAGGTGATGAGTGGGCTCATTACCATTGGACCTTCTATGTTATCATTCAGTGGTACCTTTGTCCATGTATAAGCTCAAATTTGCTAGGCCATTGTTGGTCTCGAAAAAAAATTGGATGCAACATGAGAGAAATGATAGTAAAGCAGCATCAATACATTACCGTTTAGCAAGGCTTTCAACCAAAAAATTAAGAGAACAAGCACCTCTGGAAGGGCATGGCCTTTTTTTTTTTTTTTTTTATTATTTTTTTTTTTCAATAATGTAAATATCCACATCATGAAACGATTGTCCCATTATTTGTGAATTAGCAAGATTTAATAATTTTAGTATATAATTGTCCCTTGATCTTATTCCTTCATTGTGCCAGTCGGTATAGTTTTATTTATTTTTATTGTTTTCATTGTATCCGAATAAGAATAGTATCGATCTCCTACCCAAATTTTAGCTTACTTAATATTTGAATTCAAATTTTTGTTTCAACAAAACCTATTCACAATTTAAATTGTATTTTTATTATCTAAAATTTATTTTAAGGTTTTACTCGTACATGGTCCCTATACTTTTTAAATTATTTTGATTGAGATCTTGTTTTATTTTTCATTTTCATTGAGTTTTTTTACTCTTTATTTTGTTTTATTTTTATTCCTCCGTTTTAACATCATTAGCTCGTGAGCAAGCATAGCACGTATATTTATAAATGCATGACATATGTTATACGTAGGATCTCAATAGAGAGATTTAACCAAAACAATTTAAAAAATACAAAAACTCAATCAACACAATTCAAAGGGTAAATGGATCAAATTATTATTATTTAATTTTTAATTTATAAGTTATTGTTTTTTAAAAAAAATCTTATCCTAAATTCATGACATGTGTCATATGTGAGATCCAATCACATTAACACTATGAAGTTTTTTTAAAAACAAATTGATATAATTAGTAAAAAAATAAAATAAAATAATACATAAAAATAAAAGAAATGAACCTAGCATGCAATTATTTAAAAAAATGGTTGTGTACAAAATATCTATTAGTTATATATTACTAACTAATGAGTCTAATTCTCCATAATAATAATAATAATAATAATAATAATAATAATAATAATTTCGAATATTTGATAAATTCAAAGCAAAAAAATAGGGTTGCTCCCTAAAAAAATACTAGGAATTGCATCACAGTTCTTCTTCAATACGGATAATTAACAAGGTAGCATTACTCGTTGTTTTTATTTTAATTTTAACAAACATATCTATATTGTATTTTTTTATTATTATTTGCATGCTAAGTTCATTTTGTATATACTTTATTATATTTAAATTGCAAGACATTGTATTTGAATTTTTGAGCTTTATCCCCAAACTCAATTTTGGGGTAAGATTTGGATGGGTAACCTTTCGTTGAGCCAACATCTTTTGATGATTGCTCTTTTCTTATTCCATTGCCACTTGCTTCTTCTTATCTCTTGAAGTAGAATGTAATAATCGATACTCGCTAAAAACTAAATTAAATAAATATTAAATATTAAATACATGTGAGAAATATTTTGAAGGTGTGAAATAACCCTTAATGACTTAAAAGAATAATTAGAATAGTTAAAGTAGCCTTTTATGCTTAATAGATATTTTATTGATTTTTCGAGTGCATGAATAGTAACCTTTGCATGAAATAATTATGTTGAGTATGTTGCATATGCATGAAAAATATTTTGCTTGCTTAGAATATTTGTTAGAGGGGTGTTGAATTATTTTATATGATTGTGTGAATTTTTCTATGTGTTGTGAATATTTTATTTGAATTTTTTTTAGAGATAGAAGAATTAAATTAGATATTTCAAAAGTATGAGGAATTTATTTTAAAGAAATATAAATATCATATAAGATGTGTAGGAGTACCTAATAAATTTAAATTAATTTTATCAAGTATAAGGAATATTTTTCATAGAATATAGTACAATTTTTACACTAAATAATTAATTTGGAGGCCTAAATGAGGTACAAAAATTATGAAAATTTAGATTAAATCCTCTTAATAAATTTTTGAATTTATTCTAGAAAGAAATTGAATTTTTGAAAAGCATAGGATAAAATTTTAGAATTAAGGACTTAATTCCATAGAAATTAGGGACTTAATTGCATAAAATTAAAAGTTTCAACTTCTAAATTCAATTAGTTATGAACCTAATGAGTTTAAAAGTTATTAATATACCTTTAGGGGAAGGACTTAAAGTGATTAATTGACAAATTGAAGGATGGTGAGAAGAGTAATTAGAGAAAAGATTAGTGAAATGAGGGACTAAAATTAAGAAAACTTTTGAACTCTTCCCCCACTTTTCTAGCCAAAATTTTCTGCATGATTATGGCCTAATTAATTCTTTTTGACTTACTTAAAAAGAAGAGGTTAAGAAGCATGCAAAATGGAAGGTTTAGAATTAAAGAAAAATTAAAGGTTTCAAATTTATCCATTTGAAGGGCTAGGATTAAATTTCAACTCAATGGTCAAGATCAATCCAAAAAACACCTTAATTCAATGGTGGAGATGAAGTCAAAATTCCACCAAATATATGCTTATAAATAGGGGTGCATGGAATTAAGAAAAAGGCACCAAAAATAGCAAAAAGCAAGGAAAACTCTTGCAAAATTTTCCTAAGAAATCCCACCTAAACCACTCAAAACCATAACTAAACACCTTAAATCACATACCTAAGGAAGGAAAACAAGTTACAAGCTCAAGAATTTTCAACGGGAAAAACTTGGATTTGGGCCGAATTTGGGGAGAAGAAGAGGAAGGAACGATTTTGTAATTTTTTCATTTTTTGAAGTTTAATTGGAGCATATT